TCAGGTATAACTATTCCAAATCAAGTTTTTGGTATCACAACAGTTGAATCTAATGATTTCATGGGTTCTCAATTTGATGGTATTATGGGTATGGCTTATGATTCTCTTAGCACGCAAGGTGCTTCAACACCATTCTCTAATATGGCTCAGCAAAGGACTGTCACTCAGGCAATATTTGGTTTTCATTTATCTAGAGCAGAAGATCATGATATAGGTACTCTTACTTTTGGTGGTGTTGATATTCGGTCATTTACTGGAACAATTAATTTCATTAATTTGGTTTCTAATTCTGGCTTTTGGGAGATACCTATGAATGATGCTTCTGTTAATGGAAAATTTTTTGGTTTTAAAAATAGGGTTGCAATTATTGATACCGGTACTACATTAGTAATTGCTCCACCATCTGATGTAGCCGCTATTCATCAATTAATTCCTGGTTCTATATTATTGCAACAATTAGGTGAATACGCTATTCCATGTAATACAAATGCTAAAGTAGCTTTAAAATTTAATGGTGTTAGTTATAGTATTAATACAAAAGATTTAGTTCGTGATGTTGTTTCAATTAAATCAAATCTTTGTTTATCTGGAATTAGTCCTGGTGTTGTGGGTACAAATAATCAATGGCTTGTGGGTGATGTCTTCCTTAAAAATGTTTATTCAGTATTTGATCTTGGTATAAATGCTGTTGGATTTGCACTACTTAGTTAATTTTATTTATTTTATTTATTTTTGATATTAAAATAGAGCAAATAGGTAATAAGGGATATATAATAAGGGTAAAAGGTGCGTTTAATTGTATGTATCAATTCAATAGTACTGTATAATTTTTCAAACTAAAAACAAAAACAACATTATTCGAAAATCAATGTTATTTTATACCTGAGCCCGTAGGTTTGGGTCTTTCTAATCCAAGGTCTTTTAGATCTTTTTACAAAAAAAAACTATAACATGCATTAAAAAAATATTGCTATGTTCTGTACTGTATTAAAATCATGTGATAAACCAAAATGTCTAAAAATTATACCATATTTTATTATACGTCTGTAATACTTCGTGTAAAAGTGAATTTGTTAGATTCTTAAATTAAATCTTTGATCTCGAATATTTTGGAATCTACCAGCTTTAATTAGACTATAAAAAAGATTTACTTACTAGTTTTAGAGTTAGGGTTAGAGTAGTATTAAAATTTTAAGTTAAAATTAATTATATAAAAACTTATAAGCAACTGATAAGTATCTTATAAGAAATTTTACAATGATTCACTTTTAATCTTAGTAGTTACTTCAAATCTTGTATATAATTTGTTCAAAAAACTTTTATGCATAATAAAAATTATTAAAATTAGAAATTTTTACCTATATGGTTTGTCATAATAAATCACTTAAGAATCTATGAAAATTTTGAGCTTACTATATTCAAAGTTCGTTATATTTAGAGTCGACTATAATAAAATAATAATAATTAATATATATTTTTTTTTTTACTTAAAAATT